ACACACACTCACTCGCACACACACACAGACACACACTCACCCGTGCACACATACAGACACACACTCACTCACGCACACACTCACTCATTCACACACACTCACACTCACACACACACACACACACACACACACACACACACACACACACAGACATATGCATACACACACTCACACACACATGCGCACAAACACATATACTGAGACACACGCGCACACACACACACGTTTGTTTTTGTGAATTGTGGGGACATTCCATAGGCATAATTGTTTTTATACTGTACACACTGTATGTTCTATTGCCCTACACCAACCCTACACCTAAACCTACCCCTTACAGGAAACTTTGTGCATTTTTACTTCCTCAAAAAAACTCACTCTGTATGATTTATAAGCGTTTTGAAAAATGGGGACATGGGGTAATGTCCTCATAAGTCACCTTCTCCTTGTAATACCTATGTCATACCCATGTCATTAACGAATTTGTGTCCTCATATGTCACAAAAACGTGCACACTCATACACAGACACACACATGCACACACAAACACACACGCACATGCGCACAAACACACACACACACGCATGCGTGCACACACTCACTCTCTCACACACACACACACACACACACACACACTCACTCACTCACACACACTCACACACATGCACACACACACACTCACACTCTCACACATGCACACACACACTCACACTCTCACACACACACACTCACACACACACACACTCACACTCACTCTCACTCTCACACACACACACACACACACACATACACTCACACACACTCACACTCACTCGTATACACACACACACACATGAACTCGTGTCTCAGAGCACCGGGGTCACTGCGGCTGATGTGTGAAGCAGAGAGAGGCGGAGGGCTGAGGAAGGAAAGCTTGGTCTTGGCCTCGGCCTCCTGTCAGTCCTGTGACATGCAGCTGTGCTGAGATGCGTCGTGTGCAGAGGGGAAGCGCAGAGGAACACTTTGAGCTCTCGCCGCGCTGCTGCGGCTGTTGTTTGTTGTTGTTTTTCTTGGGGCTGTTTGTTGCTAAATGGACATGTCGCCCCTTCAAACAGGAAACAGGAAGTAGCTCAGGGCTCTCGGGCCGCAGGGATCACAGCTGCCCTGAGAGCAGAACAAGCAGAGATTGACAGAGAACTGACACGATCCTCCGGTCGCGCACACACACACACACACACACACACACAGAATGAGCAGCCCTCTGACCTCTGACCTGCTGCTGATGCAGAACAAGTGAAATGAAAAGCGTCTCCTGCTGCACATCTGCTGTGTGTGTGTGTGTGTGTGTGTGTGTGTGTGTGTGTGTGTGTGTGTGTGTATGTGTGTGTGTGTGTGTGTGTGTGTGTTCAAATTCACAGCTCAAGTACAGGAAGAAAGACACGGTTGTGCTGAAGATTGGATCGCTCCTCAGGCCGACAATCCACTGCCGCGCTCCGTCCTGCGCAAAGACATCTACCAGTGAGTGTGTGTGTGTGTGTGTGTGAGAGAGAGTGAGAGAGTGTGTGTGTGTGTGTGTGTCTGTCTGTGTGTGAGAGAGAGAGGGAGAGAGAGAGAGAGGGAGAGAGTGTGTGTGTGTGTGTGTGTGTGTGTGAGAGAGAGGGAGGGTGTGTGTGTGTGTGTGAGAGAGAGGGAGAGAGAGAGAGAGTGTGTGTGTGTGTGTGTGTGTGTGTGTGAATAGTTGTGGTCTCTCTGATGCTATTCTGAGACGCTCCCGCTGTGAGAATCACAACCACAACACTTACATTCACACTCTCTCTCTCAAACACACACTAACACCTCCCGTGTGTTTTGCTGTTGTTCCTCTCGTGATGTGTTTGATCCTGATTCCATTTCATTCAGAGGAACGAGTTAAACTTCATGAAAATCTTCATTAACAGGACTAATTATCTTTTGAATTCTAGTATATTTATTCAAGAGGAAAGCGCATAGAGCATCTGCTGAAGTATTTCTCAGCTGGGTGGAAGTTGAATTGAGTGGGTTGGTCATTGGTTAGCTCAGGTTAATTATTTGCATACTTGAATGGCAAACAAAACCCATCGTCACTGTCTCTCACATGATATAATGAATGTAAATATAATAATTTAATAAGAATTAAGAGCTGATAGGTATGTTCATTTCGGTTATTTTTCTAATCGACAAGCGACGCTCATTAACCGTTAACTGACAAGATTATTTTAAATTAGAATTTAATTAAATTAGAAAGGATAAGTGTCTGTGACCCGTTAAAAAACTAACATTTGTTTTCCGGGGATTAATTTTACATTAGCAGCAAACAACAGAACATGAGGATCACATGGTCATCATCACGCACCTGCAGCGCTTCTGCCAGCGGAGAAAAACATCATAAAGCTAGGCTATATAACGAATAAATAGGCCTATACGAGAAACATATTTTTACTTAAATAATAAATTAAGAAAATGAAAGAAAAACTGCAACAAGTAGCCTAGTATGCAGAGTTTTGGTTCATTTTTGTGCTGCGCGAAAGGAAACCAAGACGGCAGAAAGCGGTGTCCTATTTTTCTTTAGGCTTATTTTACAAAAGCACAAAGATTTTTTTTTTGTGAATGTACACAAATAAAGACACACCTTTTACAATTCCGATTATCTTTATGACTAAAAAGAGTAGTTTCTTCCACTGTTAGAAGGAAAAAACTACAGTGATTGCGCCGCATGCGCGCACACAGTTAAGCTTTGCTACCTTGACAATGCAGCCTGTTCATTATCATCATAAAATACAGTCAGTCAAACATATGGAAAAAAACTATGTAGTAAAATCTGTGCCGTTAAGCGTTATCACCGTACCGCCGTGAATGATGTTATGCAAACCATTTTGTTTTACGTAGATATTGGAACACCAGTGAAGTAGGCTACATAATAAATAATAATTTGCCATTCAAATACATCGCAAATACGGAAACATTTGATTTTGTGTGGAATGAGAGACCCAACGTTGGTTTCAGTTTCTTTTTAGCCTAAATGAATTCGTTTGGGCTTGTCGTTTATATTGCTATAACTTCTTATTAGGGCAGTCATTGTTAACGCATTAACGCATACGATTAATTTTACAATCTTTAACGCGTTAAAATAATTTAACGCAATTAACGCAAAATTACTGAAGCACAATTTCTATTCTAACCCTTTAACCCAATTTTGCTACTCTGCTTGTGATCAGATCATTTTAAGCCGTTAAACTCCGGGAAAGTTTTCAGGACAATGATCCAGTAAGCGAATGCATTCAAACAATCCGTCCAAAACAGCGCTAATATACAGTAAACCAGGCTGATTACATCAGAGATTGCCGAGAGAACAGAGCCTTGCCAGAGCGTTGCGTTTTCAGTGAATTATTAATTCCAGTGTGTTTGGCTTTAAAACACGAGCTCTGTCATAAACAACAAACAATGCAAACAAGCGGCCGCTTTTGGAGAGGCGTGTAAAGGGCAGGTTTTAGTGAAGCCCTTCTGGCCCGACGGTGGAAAAGTGGCTACTGTGTACTTACTCGTTAAGATTAATTAGCATATGTTGATGTGGCTGTACTTGCTTTGTCATCTTGTTTTGTTTTTTTATGAAAGTCTGTTTCTTTCTTAACTGTTTCTTTCTTAATTCTTTCTAAACCTCCAAATGTTACAACAAAGTATGAAGATGAGACCTAAACACTAGCCTACAGATTAATTGTTAAATGTTATATAACAGACATATAAATGCATTACTATTAACGTATTACTGAAGAATCTAAATGTCTGTTTGTTTACCTGGATATCAGTGAAATATGTTGTGTAACGTTCACTGAGAGCAGAAACTTAAAAACCAGAAAACTGAGCTGAACAAATGACAGGAAGGACGACACAACAGCAATAACAGTATATTAACAGTTTTGGCACAAATGTAACGCCATACTGACCAGCTTAACAGTGAGCTGTTCAGATCAGTAGTGAGCCGAGTCTCTTGTGCGCTGAGCGTTTGGGTCTCACTGCGCTTCATTACAGAGACACTGCTCATCTGAACATGATTCACACCGGAGGTCAAAGGTCAGCATCTGCCTCAGTGTTCAGTCAGATAGTGATCCGTCTCTCTCTGCTGAGCACATGGCTGGGTTCGTCGTGTGTTTACAGGCTGTTTGTGACATATAAACTCGGCGGGAGATAAATGACCAGAGCAATTAAGATGTTGAAATGCGAGTTCAAACACTGCGAGTTCCCACAGTGCGCTCACAGACATGCGGCGAGTTACGGCTCTCAGAGGCCATGATGATGATGATGATGATGTGTGTATGAGGATATTAAAGTCTTATCAGGCTGATGGAGAGCAGGCGTGTGGCGTGTGTTTGGCCTGCAGGAAGGGCTGCGCGTCACACCCGAACACGCGCATCTCACCATCCAGCCTTTCATTTCCTCCTCAACGCCACTAATTACACTAATTTTAGCTTTTAAATTAAATGCAATCGAATTTGACTGTGGCAGTAAATCTCGCAGTGCCGTTACCCAGAATTCTCAGAGCACAGGGCCATTTAGTGGCGACCGCAAGTCATGATGTCACTGGACGCGGCGTGAGAAACACACGCAGACAGCCGCTGGATCTCATGGAAACACAATGAGAAATTATATTTAGCATAACGATAATGAAGCCTGTTTTTAGGGCTTCAGCCAGAAACCATCCTTCTGTTAGTCTTCTTTTAGTCTCGCTTGTGTCCTTCAGACCTGTGTGACTGACTCTTCTCTGTGGAACATGGAAGATATTTTGAGAAATGTATTAATGGGTTTTTTTGTGCGCGTCCATGAAATGAAAGTCAAACCATCAGAAGAAAGATAATCATACTGGATTGGAATGAGTGCAGTAAATGACAGAATGATAATTTTCATGATAATACAGCACTCATGCAGCAGACGTGCGTGAGTGTGAATGTCTGTGTCTGTGTGTGTCTGTGTGTGTGTGAGTGTGTGTGTGAGTGAGTGTGTGTGTGTGTGTGTGTGTGTGTGTGTGTGTGTGTGTGTGTGTGTGTGTGGGTGTGGGTGTGTGTGTAACCCAATTTTGCTACTCTGCTTGTGATCAGATCATTTTAAGCCGTTAAACTCCGGGAAAGTTTTCAGGACAATGATCCAGTAAGCGAATGCATTCAAACAATCCGTCCAAAACAGCGCTAATATACAGTAAACCAGGCTGATTACATCAGAGATTGCCGAGAGAACAGAGCCTTGCCAGAGCGTTGCGTTTTCAGTGAATTATTAATTCCAGTGTGTTTGGCTTTAAAACACGAGCTCTGTCATAAACAACAAACAATGCAAACAAGCGGCCGCTTTTGGAGAGGCGTGTAAAGGGCAGGTTTTAGTGAAGCCCTTCTGGCCCGACGGTGGAAAAGTGGCTACTGTGTACTTACTCGTTAAGATTAATTAGCATATGTTGATGTGGCTGTACTTGCTTTGTCATCTTGTTTTGTTTTTTTATGAAAGTCTGTTTCTTTCTTAACTGTTTCTTTCTTAATTCTTTCTAAACCTCCAAATGTTACAACAAAGTATGAAGATGAGACCTAAACACTAGCCTACAGATTAATTGTTAAATGTTATATAACAGACATATAAATGCATTACTATTAACGTATTACTGAAGAATCTAAATGTCTGTTTGTTTACCTGGATATCAGTGAAATATGTTGTGTAACGTTCACTGAGAGCAGAAACTTAAAAACCAGAAAACTGAGCTGAACAAATGACAGGAAGGACGACACAACAGCAATAACAGTATATTAACAGTTTTGGCACAAATGTAACGCCATACTGACCAGCTTAACAGTGAGCTGTTCAGATCAGTAGTGAGCCGAGTCTCTTGTGCGCTGAGCGTTTGGGTCTCACTGCGCTTCATTACAGAGACACTGCTCATCTGAACATGATTCACACCGGAGGTCAAAGGTCAGCATCTGCCTCAGTGTTCAGTCAGATAGTGATCCGTCTCTCTCTGCTGAGCACATGGCTGGGTTCGTCGTGTGTTTACAGGCTGTTTGTGACATATAAACTCGGCGGGAGATAAATGACCAGAGCAATTAAGATGTTGAAATGCGAGTTCAAACACTGCGAGTTCCCACAGTGCGCTCACAGACATGCGGCGAGTTACGGCTCTCAGAGGCCATGATGATGATGATGATGATGTGTGTATGAGGATATTAAAGTCTTATCAGGCTGATGGAGAGCAGGCGTGTGGCGTGTGTTTGGCCTGCAGGAAGGGCTGCGCGTCACACCCGAACACGCGCATCTCACCATCCAGCCTTTCATTTCCTCCTCAACGCCACTAATTACACTAATTTTAGCTTTTAAATTAAATGCAATCGAATTTGACTGTGGCAGTAAATCTCGCAGTGCCGTTACCCAGAATTCTCAGAGCACAGGGCCATTTAGTGGCGACCGCAAGTCATGATGTCACTGGACGCGGCGTGAGAAACACACGCAGACAGCCGCTGGATCTCATGGAAACACAATGAGAAATTATATTTAGCATAACGATAATGAAGCCTGTTTTTAGGGCTTCAGCCAGAAACCATCCTTCTGTTAGTCTTCTTTTAGTCTCGCTTGTGTCCTTCAGACCTGTGTGACTGACTCTTCTCTGTGGAACATGGAAGATATTTTGAGAAATGTATTAATGGGTTTTTTTGTGTGCGTCCATGAAATGAAAGTCAAAACATCAGAAGAAAGATAGTCATACTGGATTGGAATGAGTGCAGTAAATGACAGAATGATAATTTTCATGATAATACAGCACTCATGCAGCAGACGTGCGTGAGTGTGAATGTCTGTGTCTGTGTGTGTCTGTGTGTGTGTGAGTGTGTGTGTGAGTGAGTGTGTGTGTGTGTG